ACACACATATGTGCACACACACAGCAAAGTAAACACACAGTATAGATACACACAAACAGAAGATCATAAACACAGCAAGACAAAGGCCACGCATTTATCACTTTCTCTCATACTCACACACACACACTCTTTTTTCCACATTTTGTGGAAATGAATGTGTAGCTGGTTAGCTGTGGCCCATTTAGCCTGGCAGCTGATGTGTGGTTAACACATCCATTTATGCTAATGACCTTCCATGTTTAAAAAAAAGGCAGCAGTAATGTAAAGCCTCGTTAAAGGCCAAATCCTCGTTCATTCCAGTCATTTTTCAGCCCATTTTCTCGTTCAATTAAACTGATGAAATCATTATTCACTCATGGAATTACTACTCAACCTCACAAGACAACCAAACTGCTGCTTTTTTTTTTTGCCTCTAAATATATCACATTCGTCCGTAATGAAATGTAACACCTTTAATATATATTCTGGGACGATTTCCTTTGAACACTAGCACCAGTTTGTGCCTCTCATGTTTTACCATTACATTCAAGTCACAGCTAAGCATCCAATTTTCCTTTAAATAATTACCCGGCGAACTTTGAAAAACCCAAAAGGTTGTTTAATAAAACTTCCTGCCGTGCTGTGCTGTATTTCCAGAATCTTCAAAGACTCTTCTAATCATCTGGATAAAAAATATTTTATATGTTGCACTTTTAAGCCGTTTCTCAAGTTGCGACTGTATTTCCTGATATACCTGGCCAGAAAAGACTTTTCTGGTAAAACACCAGCAAAATATGAACGTATTAGTTTGTATGAAAAATATTAGAAAGAAACATCAATATATACCAATATATATATACCAACCAATAAATTTTAATTTTGGTTCACGTAACAGAGTACTTTGCTGCATGAAGAGAATATTTGTTCATCCACATGTTTAGAAGAGTCTTTGAGGATTCCAGAAATACCTTTGATACAAGTTATAAGTTCTGTTAAATGATCTTTAGGGTTATTACGAAGATCACCTGGTAGATATTTTTAGGGAAACCTTCTAAATATAAGCTCTGTAACTCGAATGTGATGGTAATACATAACAGGAAGACAGGCTAACAGTAGTAGAATATCATTGGCAGGCAATTTGTTGACCAAAGAAAGGTGACGAGATCATTATACGCAGGTAGCAACAATTAAAATCTATGTTTATATAAATATATAATTCTTGCAGAATTTAGCAGAACTATCAACACCTGTTTGTGAAGGAGGGGCATGGGAAAAAACCATGGTGAAACATTTTGAAACCTGAGATATTTCGGTTTTAAAATTCTGTTGCCGATAAATAAATGACCTCCAATTCCACGGGACTTTGGCCAGCATAAATATGAATCTCATGTTTATCTTATTTACCATATGCATCCCCCTGACAATACTACAGTGTGGTTTGAATCAGTTCGTCCTCTTTTCAACACTCGAGAAAAAAAGCATTTCCTACCTGCTTGTGCATCTCGATGTTCAGCCCGTATGACATTTCGTAGTACTGAAAAAAACAAAGATCAAAGCAAAGTTATAAACGGTCTTCTCTGTTCCTCTTTTTGCACACACCAAAAACTACTAATGCATTCATGCACACACAAAGACACACACCACACACACACACAGACGTAATCAATGAGACTCACCATGACATAGTGTCTCTGCATCTCAGTTTTCTCACTGGCCAGTTTCTCACACTCCAATTTCAGACTGTGAGGCACAAGGAAAATGTTATGTATGTGTATGTCATGATCAAACACACAGAAACCCACGCATGTGCACGCACGCACACACACATTTGAAATAAAAAAAAAAATTTAAATCATTTCCAACCTCAAATTCTGATATTCTACAGGATATCTTACATGTTTTATCCCGTGAAACAAATTCACAAAACACAATGCCACTTGCAGAATGCTGAGTCTCTAAGTGACTACATCCTGTTACTTTAAATTTGCATTTCTAAATTTAAGTGCAACAAAGAACAGAAAGAAAAAAAAGGGTTGCTTGGATCACACCAGTTTCCCCTACAGACACTTACTCAGCAGGTACGGAGCAGTAATTAATGGATCAATAGACGACCACACAAACCTCATCATATATTCTTACAGTGTGAGTGGAGGCCCAAACTGCACCATCAACAAAAAGCAACCATATAATGAGGATCCATTTTACAACTGTGGTTACACAAAAGCTTAACTCTTTCAAAATGTTGTTACTGGAAAGCCTCCACATATCACGACAGCTTTTGTACATGTATTTTATGAGAGAACTGGCAGGTATCGATGTTGCAGGTTAGGACACTGACATGCCATTTACAAACAAAAGACTGCATGTTACTGAAATGTGAATTATAGAATCAGCTGAATCATTTTGGCAGATTAAAACTTTTAATCTTTAATACTGTCAGCCTTAACAAAAGCCCTAATTTGAGCTTGATGATGATGCATATTTGACAGATGGTTTCATCAGCCCAGAAGGTTAGAGAATTTACTTAGCCAGTAGTGAAACTATGCAAAATCATTAAAGTTGAAAAGATAATTACTTTGGTAAATGTTTTCAACGCAAAGAAAGTTTAATTTCACTTTCTTTTAAATACAAACAAAAAACCTCCAAAGAAGATGATGTATATTCAGCGTTTATATCTGACTAACCCTTTTTGACCAAATCAGTGTCTCCCTGCAGTGAGGATTTCACATATACGTAGCAGTTTGATCACAGTGTTACACATGCAGCAGACTCTATCCACGGTTCAGCTCATTCAGGTCCAGGTCTGGCCAGCAAACTGGACCGCTGGTTCATCTCACCAGGTGATTGGGCAATAATTACGAGGTGGCCAGAGGTGGGCGATTATTATGCATTGGTATCGCGCTTATGGTTCTGCCCCCCAAGCAATGTATTTCACACTTCATCATGTCGGGTAAAAAAGTATTTCACACCACTTGAGCTTGCCGAGAGAGACGTGCATACCAAGGTTGATGGGCTTTACCTGTGGTTAGTCACCAGTGATAGATGGGCCTGAGACAAATGTACCAGCAGTGCTACGGAGGTACTGAGGAAAATAATTTCATGGGATTTCCAGATGGATATTTACCTCAAACTAAGAATCTTGTGTTTCTCAATCAAATCCTGAAAACAAAAATCCACTTTGTGTCTTGTCTTTCATGTCATTGCGTCATGCACTTCCCGTAAAATACTGGTCATACTGTATGATTCATGCATGACTGGTACAGGGAAGGTCAACATCATAGAAATTACCCTTTTTCTCACATAATCTGCGGGGGGGGGGGTCAGTTTATAATAGAGACTAGGGCTGCAGCAGTTATGTTCAGTATTGATTGAGATATTGATATGTATTGATTAATCTACTTATTAGATGGTTTGGGATGTATAAGGTCAGCAAATTGTGACAAAATCTCATTACAATAATTAATCGATTAATCGTTGCGGTTTGAATATGGACCCAGAATAACACAGATTCAATTTACAATCATTCATCAGTCAAATGCGTAAAGTTTCATTAGTATTTTTGGTCACTGTTTTGCTGATGAGCAGACGTTTAGTCAGCGTTAACCTCGCGCTCCATCCAAACTCTTACCTGTGATACTGGGCTTGCAGGAACTCCTCCTTGATCCGGTGCACAGGACTCCGGTTTAGCGGTGAACTTTAACGGCTGCCCGGCTGTGGGGGGAACGCTCAACCCAAACCAAAAAAGCGTGGGGGGGGGGAGAGAGGAAGAAATGAGCCAGCCAAAGTTCAGTGTCCACGACACACACACAGCAACCACAACACAACACACAACACAACACCACAAAAAACAACCCCACACACAAGATTGCATAATGACAATAGGCCTCATGTGATTTGGCCTTTTGGGTTTCAGCTCGACTCCTTTAACACGTTAACCCACGCACACTCCACGTAAGACTCCACACATGCGCTGCAAGCAGTTTGACAATGAGCGCAAATTGTCCGTGTGAGCGCGCAGTGGCAGCGGAAAACTTGATCTAAACTGATTACGCATCAAGGCGCGGCGGCTGTTAATCTGCGCTGTGTTTGAGCATGACTTGCCTTGGCCTGCTCTGCTCCTCCACTTACCGGATGCCGCGCCGGGGGGGTACATCTTGCTGCAGATCTCGAATCATTAAAAAATGTATTGCAAAGTTCATCAACATAAACGCGAAACAAAATGATTGAGCACGGATTCTTTCCCCGTGCGTAAAAAGGTCAGTCAGTGGCCGGCTCTTGGGCTATGTGGCAGGTTTCCCGTGAAGAGTGGAAACATCCTCGGACCCTGTGGTCGTCGTCATTCTTTTAGACAAGTGATTTCAAAAGTCCATTCAGTGTGATAACAAAGCAGGAAGTTGTCTCGGTCTTCTCCAAAAAAAGAAAAGCCTCCTAGCGGTTATTCTATGCGCACGGAGCTAATACTGTCTATGAACTAACAACGAGTCTCTATGTATCCTC